AAAAAAAAAAAAAAAAAAAAAAAACATCCCGTATGCTGTGATTGCGGTCTTATACAGGATGCTATAGTGTTTGTCTGGAACCGAATGAAGCGAGGCAGTTAGCTGCCTCGCATGGAATCCGCCCTGCCTGGCTGGCAGGGCGCTACAAGGACCTCGCACAAGACACAAAAAAGGAAAACGACCTGTTTCATGTTCCTCACTTCGTGGCCAGATACATTCCTCAAAGCACTGGTGAGGTGAGGGCCTTCCCGACCTAGGTGGATTCGAAGTTCCTCGTTTCTTTACTTTTTTATTTCTTCTTTTTCTTTATTTCTGTTTTTGGCCTCCATCCCTGCCCCGGGGCCCCCACTTTTTCGGAGTAGGCTACTCTTGAGACTTCGCGTTTGTGTGTGAAGGGTAGTACCTGTGAATCTCGGCTGTGGCCGAAACATCTCGGCCGTGGCCAATCTGTGGTGTGGCCGAGACATCTCGGCCGTGGCCAGTCTGGGGTGTGGCCGGGCTATGTAACACCCGCGGACGCGTCCACAGGTCCGATCTCGGATGGCAGACGCAGACGCATCCGCGTCCGCGGCCGACCTGGTCCGCGCCGCGGACCCGATTTTACCAGAATTTTCCTGAATTAAATAATAGGTAAAAATATATATATATATATGATATATATATATATATGGGGTTGTAGGGAATTTTACGCCCTACAACCCCATATATATATATTTTTTTAAAGATGCGTTTTAGGATCTTTTAAAAATAAAAAACCGAAACGGTGCAAAAAAAAAAAAGAAAAAAAAAAGTGTTTTTTATTTTTTTCATTTTTTGTTTGCAGTTGTTTGTGTTCTTCAGTTTGTTGTGTTTTTTGTTTGTGATGAAGATGTGTTGTTCGTGAATAAAAAAACAAGGAATGAAAAAAAAGAAAAGAGAAAAAAAAGGAAAAAAAAAAGGCCCTGCTGGAGCCTGGTGGCACAGTGGTGGGGGACCACCACCAGCAGGCAGTGTCAGGCACCAACACATTTTGTGTTGCCGTTTCAGATAAAGATGGGTTGCACCTGAAACAGCAACCCAACCTGTGTTGGTGTTGCTGTTGCCATCAACATTGGTTGGGGGGGGGGGGGGGGAGAGAGAGAGAGAGAGAGAGAGAGAGAGAGAGAGAGAGAGCTTACTTGAGAG